TATATACAAACGCCGGATGAAAGGGACGTGCAGGTTCGATCCATGCGAGAATACGTAATACGCACTGTTTAAAATAAAAACAAAAATGAGACGGCTGTTTCCAATAGGAGTATCAAGAATCCACAATTATAACATTTGAAGTAATATATATCTATATAGATATCTATATACATATATATATATATATATATATATATAGATAGATAGATATAGATGTGAGAGAGAGAGAGAGAAAGAGTGTGTGTGTGAGAGAGAGAGTGTGTGTGTGTGTGTGTGTGTGTGTGTGTGTGTGAGAGAGAGAGAGAGAGTGTGTGTGTGTGTGTGCGCGCCTTAGGTGGGAACAAACTTACTGTACTATTTTTTATGTTTGGACTTTGAAATAATGGTTTTGAGAAGTGGGTTTGGCCAATGACTTTTCACCACCACTGCTAACACACACACACACACACACGCGCACACACACACACACACACACACACATATATATATATATATATATATATATATATATATATATATATATATATATATATATATAATCAGATAAAAATAATGTTTTGACCATTTTATATGACTTCACTTTATAGTCATTTAAATTGATTCCAGCAACCGACAGAACACCGGATTTAACCGAAAATAATTCTTCATAACGGATGAAGTAACAATCGAATATGCTCGGATACAAATGAACAAAAATGAACTTTCCTGAAATTGGGTAAAAAGAATTCTTGCTACCTCAATAGAATAGACCTCATATTTATATATATATATATATATATATATATATATATATATATATATATATATATATATATATATATTGCATCTATATGATGAAACAGACTGCCGCCTCTAAGTGTTGACTTCTATGTTCACTTTTATATTTACACACGCTCAATCTCTGATATTGAGCACTATCCCATAAATATAGTACAACTTAAGACTATATTTCTTCATATATATATATATATATATATATATGTGTGTGTGTGTGTGTGTGTGTGTGTGTGTATACACATGTTTATGCATGTGTGTTCGCATTTATAGTCTGTTATTGGCTAAATAACAAAAATGTTATTTATATATGTATTAAAAAGCTCTTTTAAAATAACTTTAAATAGTGCACTCTTAGATATATAAGAAAAAAGTACACAAATTACATACATACATACATACATACATACATACATATATATATATATATATATATATATATATATATATATATATATATATATATATATATATTTCACGAGTGGTCTACTGTTATTTTTTTTGTCAATAATGACATCATACTCCGTCAGAAGACGCATTAAAAGTTTAAATTTGAATTACTTCCGTTACGTGCTTCCATATTTGATACTGATATTAAAGATACGCGTAGTTATTGCACATGCGCGAATCTGATGTTATTTTGAACAGTTTTTTTTTTCTTTCTGATGTTATTGACTGGCTTTATTTTGGGGCTTCAAACAAGGGACCTTGATGGTATTTAGGCCAGAGGAAGTTCGAAAGCAAAACCGCCGAAATGTTAGAATTAGAACAATAAAGCATCGGACTCTTGTCTGAATAATTCGTGGACTATTAAGGCTTTTCCCTGAATCTCTCTCTATTTTTTAAGCCTTGCACTGGATGAGATATTCTTCTCCATTTTTTAACTTTCATTCCGACATTAAAATTTCTATAGTAAATAAAAATTTATATGTATATTTTCTGAAATCAATTCTATAGTAAAAATATTAGCAAGTGTCATATATACATATGTCATATATATATATATATATATATATATATTCACATTAATGTTCTATCCTTACCTTTTTGGTATCGAGCACTTTAAGAAAAAAAAGAACAATTTTGCCACGTAACACTCTTAAAATTCAATACTATATATTTTAAGACATTTTTTATGTTTAACATTCTTTTTATAGATAAAAAAAAATATGCTCTGTTTATAATAAACAGTATTAAACAACATTTACCGACCTGAATGTCCGAGAAATTTCCACAGAAAATATCCGTCCTCCGACAGGATTCGAACCTGTATCATTTAGCTTGACGTGCCTTTACCGATTTGGCCACGAAGGAACGTTCGGTTAGAAAGGTTTTTACTGTATTTAAACTTCAATCTTCCATGAATCTCTCACGTACATTCATGTCTGCTCATGTCGTATCAAATGTAAACAAATGACGTCACACATTATGAAATTGTCGGACTTTGTCCATTTCATATATATATATATATATATATATATATATATATATATATATATATATATAAGGAGAAGCCAGTAGTCTTGAAGAATGAAGGTATTACTACCATGTGCTGACGAAACTTCGAAGTCAGCATGAATGAAATTGCAACACTAAGTTAAGGACAAATTTCTCCACATTAAGTTTATTAACGCCCTATCCTTATCGAGCACTTTAAGAAAAAACCTGCCCACCTCAAATGCCTTTCTACCAGTGGACTACGGAAAAAAAACAGCTATTTTGGCAA